TCATCTTCATATCCATTTAACATGTGAGTTATAAATTTTAAGAGCTGAAAAACAAACAGTTGGCTGAACTCTCTGCTCCACTTCTTGGTAAGTGATCAGTATTTTGATACTGCTGTAGTAACAACAGGAAATGATCTGTTAAAATCTGGATCTCTTGCTACAGAAGAATGCCAGTGTAAAGAGGACAGCTACTCTCAGAATAGTCTACAAAAACAGTGTGCAGAATTGCTTCTAGGACCACAGGGAGAGAACAGTAATTTTGTCTCAACATTGGAAAAATGCGCACACAGAAGAGGATTTTCTGAACTTTATCAGTGGAAAGCTATGGCCATACTCAAAGTTAATGTTGACTAAGATAGTAACTAGAACTTCGTTACAATGCTCAACAGCATTTCTTGAAATAAAAGTTCACTCATAAATATCACAAGCAGGTTGAACAACTGTAAATTGGTTCAGTTTTAAGTCTGCTTTGTTTATAAAACAGCAAGTTGGTTTGGTTTATCAGAAAAGAGAAGACAAACAATGTGATGAAGGTAGTCAGGGAATAAAGTGAAAGTGCTTTCATATAAAATTGAAAAATGGATGTTTAACAGTATTAAGTAACTGACTTTACATAAGAAATTACCATGGGTTATAGGTATTTTCTTTGATTTATAGTGTGTAATTTTCCAATTAATTAGGCGTAAGATTTTTCCTATGAATAAAGTAAAACATTATCATGGATAATTAATAATCTAATCCCTGAGGCTTTCTCCCTCATCATTTTCCTTTCCAAGATTTGCTGGGTAAAACTGAATAGAAACAGACCCAACAAGAGTAGACCATGGAGCACAGAGGACTTTTTCAATAGAAGGTTTGCAAATAGTCTTATTCAGCAAACATCTGCCCACACCAGACTCCGGGAGTCATGGTAGAAGTCAGGAAACCCAGAACAAGGCAGGCAAAAGAAGACAACCTTGGTCTAAAAGTTGTACAAAGCACAAGTGTCCACATACAACCATAACTATATGAATTATGTTCCCTAGCGCTTTAATGTATTCTGAAATTTATTTTTTAAAGCTAATGAATTAAAACTAATAACCTAGAATTCAATTAAAAATAATAAAATATTTTCTAGTTAAGAATTTATAGCAGCAACATTTTCCAAAACACTGACTTAAGTTATGAAATAAATTACATATACTTGACTCTATATAAGAAGTGTGGTATCTACAATTACTTTTTAAGAGCTGTTTTTTAATCACTGAACACTTTGAAACAAGAGAAAATGTACAAAATATCACTTGGCTCTGAACATACAAATCATCTGTTTCAAATTAATTGTTGTTACCAATATAAAAACAATGATAGTCTGGATTCAAGAATGGGCTTGGAAAGTGAAAAACTAGCTGATATCACAAATAGTATTTCTTTCCAAAATTCTTCCTCATCTGCAACATCTTCCTTCACTCCACCTCTGTCTTCCTGAAAAGGAAGTAACTCTTTTGTTTTTGCTTTATACTCTCACTCACTAATTAGAGATCTTACTATTCCTAGTTTCTGATTTGGTTGGTTAGACCTACTCTTTCCCTCAGGAGACTGGAAAGCAACCTGTGTGTCGGATTTGCTTAGCATGTCTAATTCAAAGCCCAAAATCTAGGCACCCAAAAAAAAATCAGTTGAATGAATTATTCCTCTTAGAGTTTTATGTATGTACTGGTGCTTGGTGAGTTGTGTGACTTAAAATCCTTCAATTTTTATATAGTTTTTATAGTTTCTTATGACAGTATTCCCTCAAGATGAACTGATTTTGAAGTGTCTTGTACCCTAGATTAAATGTGAAAAATTTAATCTTATAACCTCATTTGCCCAATGCTCAATAGTGTGTTATGCAAATGAATCAGTGTATTATCTGCCATTGTTTTAACTGTTACAATGGCTTTTCCAATCTTAGTATTTTACTAAGGCCCTAGACAATAAAAATATAATTTCCTAATTAGCATCTTTTAGGTGATTCCTATTTGAAGAAGGCAGAATAAGCTATTTTTAATCAGCTTTATGGAAATACAATGCACATTACAATAAACTGCACATATTTAAAGTATATAATTTGATGAGCTTGGCATATATATACATTTGTAAAACCATTGTTACAATCAGGATAATGAATGTTGTCATTACAAACCAAAGTAGTGCACCCCTTCTGACTTCCCACCCCCTCTCCTCCATAACCACTGATTACTTTCTGTCACTTTAAATGTATTTTCTGAAAAAATGGAATCATAGGTATGTACTCCCAGTACAGGTTCTTTCTCTTAACATAAATATTGGGAGACTCATCTCTGTTGCTGCATACAAAAATAGTTTATTCATTTTTATGGCTGAGTGGTAGTATTTCATTATATGGATACACCACAATTTCTCTATACATTCTCCTGTTGAACCAGATTTGGATTGTTGCCATAAATTTTTGAAGTACAGGTTGACCACTCCTAATTTGAAAATCTGAAACACTCTAAAATCTTAAACCTTTGAATGTTGACATGGCACCACAAGCAGACAATGCCATGCCTGATTGCATGTAATTGGTGATAGGTACACTAAAAACACTGCAAAAAATTACCTCCATGTGATGTGTGTAAGCATAGATGAAACCGAAATGGATTTTGTGTTTAAAAACTTGGCTTTCTATCTGCAAGATAGATCTCATTGCACATATGCAAATATTGCAAAATCCATATGCAAATACTTAAAAACAAAATCCTCAAATCCAAATCTCTTCTTTTCCTAGCATTATGGATAAAGGATACTTAACCTGTGTTATAAGTAAAGCTGCTACAAACATTCATGTATCATTATATATGGACATACACTTTCTTTTCTCAGCTAAATACACAGGAACAGATGGTTGGGTCACATATCTTACTTGGTGAAGTGACTGTTCAAATCTTTTGCTCATTTTTAATTGTATTAGTTTCTCTTCTTACTGTTGAGTTGTTAGGGTTCTTAAAATATGCTGTGGGTGTAAATCTCCGCCAGATATATATAGTATGCATCTTTCCATGTGTATGGTTCTAAGGACTGACTGCAGGGTCATACATGTGCCTACAAGGCAAGTGCTCTATACTAAGCTACACCTCCAGCTTCATGTACTTGTTTTTTTAAAGACAGGTCTTGCTACGTAGCCCAGGTTCCTGAGTGCTGGTGTTATATGTAGGCATACTCCACCACACCAGTCAGACTGTGCACTTTAAAAAGAGAAATGCAGGCTGTGGGTGTAGCTCAGTGGGAGGGTGAATGCTTAGCAGCATGAGGCCCTTTGTTCTATCCCCAGCACCACAAAAAGGAAGGAAGGAAGGAAGGGAGGGAGGGAGGGAGGAAGAAAAAGAAATGAAACTGTTTTAGGTAATTATGCTCTGGCAATGTAATACATGGTCTATCTGTATACCAAATTGTCCTTATAACAAGGGTAAGCATTAACTCCATAATTCTCTCTTCCAAATTTTTCCATGCTTAATGAGATGGTCAGTCTGCTAGTATTTGAAAAACAGAGAAGGGAGTAAAAGTGGAAAACAAACAAGTTTTCTCAACATTCTTCTTAGTCCCTCCCAGTTGTATGAGTCTGTTAGCTATCAGTAGGAGCAGATAACAGACCTGATCACGTTAGGTGATGGTTAATTAGTCCTCCTCCTTTCTCCTTTTAAGCAATCATTTAAAAAGTAGTCAGAAAACAGTAACATTATTAACACAACCTCTTGTACTTTTTAAAATTAGATTTCTTTCCCTTGAACAAAGACCCTATTGTATCGTTCACATAATTGTTAAGCATTGGTGCCCAGTGTGAACTTCTGTCTCACTTCCTTTAGTTCCTTTCTATCATCTTCCTTTAGTCTTCTCTTTTACTCTCCCCAGCAGCTCACATCTGTATCTCTACTTAATTTGATGATTCCAAATGAGTTTGGCTACAGACTTTTGCTGACCATGCTTCTTATTTCAAAGAGAACAACAGCAAAGCCAATAGAAATCTCTCTCTGGAACTCATAGGAAGAACAGCAGAGTTTTTGGTGCATGAAAAAGTTGAAATCATTTTTTCAATTGTATCCAAACAAATAGTACTCTTCTGCCACAATAAAAGCAAGCACATTGTTATTTTTTAAACATTTTAGACTTAGAGCCATGCATGAAATACCAAGCAATTCCTTCCCAAACAGAAGTGAATCTCGGGAAGTTGGGTGGTAATTTACTATCTGCCTCCATCCACTCCAAGTAGATACAGTATATGAAATCAACTACTCATTTTAAACACTCTCCCTATAAAGAATAATTTCATGTATTTCTAAATTTTTCACAGGACATATTATCTCTAGGGAGTGCTCCAGAGCTAGACACAAATTTGAAAGTCCACTACAAATATCACTAGAATTGAGATAATCAGCAGATTATAATGGAAATCTCTAACATAACATTGTCAGGATACAGACAACCCTAGGGTTATAAGTATTCAATGGAAGTAAAAATGAGATAATTAATTATATTCCCCAAATAAGATTCATTGCCCTTTTTTAAAGTTCATTTGAGACACGCCTTATTATGTAGACCAGGCTAGCCTGGAATGTATGATCCTCCTGTGCCAACCTCCTGAGTGTGCGATTACAGTTGTGTGTTACCATGCCTGGCCAGACTGGTTCTTATCAGATACCTAGTGCTTCATTTTCACCTTGTTTAAGAAATGGTTCAGTATTTAAAAAATAAATTCCTCTATATCTTTATCTTGTCATATCTTTAATATGACAAGATAATTTATTTTACCTAGAGGAATATAATATAATATATATATATATATATATATAATTAAAGATGATATATATATATATATATATAGACAAACATGAACATAAGTTTTATTCCAGTATTCAACAATCATGATATGAAATAACCACCTGCCTGGTAAAAAATTGTATACATCTTGAAATTTTCAGTTTTAATATAAGAGAAAATGCTCAGCTTCAAGTTCACTTTAATAATACAAAATATGTGAGATTTCTTATATGTTAAAGAAAACAGACAATATTATCAAAAAAGTGATTTATTTATCAAAGTTAAAATACTCTTAAACATACAAAATTTCAATAACATGACAACACATTTCAAATAAATGCATTTTTTCAATGAAGATATATGACATAATATATAAGGACAGGAAACACAAAGATGTATTTAATACCTTTTGTTCCATTTTAAAGTCACCTTATCGAACGATACATCATGAAATCAATGGTTGTGCATCTAGGAAATTTGCCGATCGAGCTCTCTTCCACTGGCGTGTATATTTTAATCTGTCGCATGTGGGTGTCTCTTCCATTTTGGTGATTGGCTAGAACGGCAATCTGAATCATGAATGTTCGAGTTGGCTTCTTATGATTGTCAGTTAGGGGAACGTGAATCCAGCCACTTGGTTCCACCAATTCCAGTTGCTGACAAGAAAAATATTAGATTATGCTTTTATCCAATGAATATAACTTATAAAAAATAAATGCATTTAAAATATTATTTTATTAGCAAATATTAGTTGTTTAGAAGCATATATTGTGATCTTTACATATGTGCTTACAGTATAATATTGGTTAAATTTATCCTCTTCATCATTCTCCCTCGTTCCCCTCTCCCCTTGTTAGAACAATTTCAACAGGTTTCATTCTTCTATTTTCATATATGGATACAAAACACATCCACACATTCACCCTTATTCCCCCGTTTCTTGTGCCCATCTCCGCCTCCAGCACTGATACCCATCCTTGAAAAAGATTTAATTTTCCCTCCTGTCCTTCATTTTTAAAATTAAGTGTATATTGATAGTCCAAGGGGGTTTCGCCTTGATACTACTTCAGGCCTGCATATATCATGCTTTAATCAAATTAACTCCCTTCCCCCGTTACTTACTCATTTGTAATACATGCTCCCCTGATATTCAACAGCTTACCATACAGTGCAATTATATTATATTCAAATATATCCATGGGTTGTTTTCAAATATTTTTCATTCGCTAACATTTAAACTTAACTCTCCTGCCTCCTGTTAGCCCCCTCAAACAGTATAAACTAAATTATAAGAAACATTTTGTTCACTTGAATTGAAAATATGATAACAACTATTACCACTTACTGCATCTACTTTTATTAGTTGCTAAGCATTTTATATACACTATATCAGCAGACAAAAAAAAAACTGATGCATGCAGTCTTGGTATAGAAACCTGTATAATTTATACAACCTTAGAAAGCCACATTCTCAGCAACCATAAAGTTCAGAAGCATTTTGTAGAGTATTAAAAAATATAATTTCTATAAACATTATAATTTTTATAGGGTTGGTTTAATGTATCAAAGTACGCCATATTGTGGAAGATACAGTGAAAGCTCTTTCTATTGACCAGAAACATCATATATTTCTAGCTATTCCTATGTTCAAAATACAAATGTGGGGTTGGATGATGACAATATGTCTGAACCCACTATTCAAGAGGCAATATGGGAGGATAGTGTTCTGAGACTGGTTCTTGTGAAAAAACAACGGACAGACCATGTAAAAATACAAGCTAAAAAAGGCTAGGGAAATGGTTCAAGTGGTAGAGAGACGCTGCTAGCAAGCCCAAGGCCTGAGTCAAATAAATAAAATAATCACAAAATGCTGCTAAGTAAAGAACACTGGATTTATTGTCATTAAAACAACTCTTTGATTTGTCATAATGTCCAATCACTCTGAATTGTATCATTGGTAATTTACTTTTATAGCTTCATAACCAATGAGATATAAAGGTATATTGGAAAGATCAAATAAGAACAATATACAACTCTAAACCCAAATATAAAATGGGCAATATTGATGCTGCACGGACATTTCCCAAAAGACATAAAAATGATCATGGATATTGAAAATGCTCAAGGTCACAAAATTACCAGAATAGAATAGAATAGCAGGTAAAAAATGGACGATATTTGACTATAACTTTTCAAAAGTTTGGGCCGTTTTGTAACAACGAAAAGCTTAATGTATTGATGAGTGCTTCAACTCATCAATTCGTTATCCAAATTGTTGCTATGCAATGGAAATAACTAGATGTCTTCCATCAATTGCTAAACTGGCTTTCCATATTTTAATCATGGCTATTCTACAGTCCTTGTCATTCGTGTCTGGGTCCTTCTCTACAGCATTGGCAATCAAGCCCCATGAAATGCTCTCAACCAGTACTTCTTTGTCAAATGAGTAAAGCTTTCATATTTGCTTTGTTGACCTTCTTTTTGTATTTCCTTAGGAAATTTTGTAACTGTTTGTCTAATTGACATTCTGCAAATTTTTACGCTGCAGAACATCTATAGGATAGTACAATTGGACTAAAAAATGGACTCCAGGTA